GGGATTCATCTGGGAAATCTAAAAAGCAGTTGTATTGTTAATGTCAGTCTGATGGAATCATTCTGTAAATGGCAGATATGGTTCTGTTACACACTTGGAAAAGTACATTATTTAAAAACAAGTGGTGTCTTTAAAACACTTAAAATATACCTAACTTAAACTTTTCTTGCACGCTTCTCTGAGAAGAAGCGGAAAACTGAATTGGATGTGGACCGTGCCCAAATTTAAAAAGAAAAAAGCTTAGATTTTGATGTTCTTAAAAAGCTGGACTAATTTAATATAGTCATGACTGCAGGCTGAAGAATGTGTTCTCTGAAATATGTCATTCCAAGTACTGGTAACCTGACATACTTAAATAGAGAGTCTTAGATATGAACTACTGGATATATAGTGTAGATTCCCCAAATATTGAGAAATAAGGAATGCTGAAGACCAGGTGCTAATCTTACATATTTGCATACGAATGTTTTCTTCATATTGTTTTTTTGCTGTTAGCAGTTAAGCTAAAGGACTTTTTATTCTGTATATCAATATTTAAAAGGTTAGTTCAAGTTGAATTTATTGTTGAGGATCAGAGCTGTGGGAACTTGTCATTCAGAAGTGTTAGGAATAAGATGATAGGAAAGTGCAATTTTTATTTTTTAAAATACTATTTTTTTTCAACTGTAACACTGATTAAAGATTTTTTTAATAGTATGCTTAGGTAAGCCCTGGTTTTGCCATCCCTGTTTTCTAGAAAACGGGACCATTCATTAATGAATGGCTCATAACTGTTTTAAATAAATTGAGCCGTTTACAAATTGAGTGAAATGTCAACAGCTGATATTAGTACCCCAGGAGTTGGGGTTTTTTTCCCAGCGTATAGCTGAAATGAGCAAAAGTTGCCAAGTTTTCCTTAAAAGGCCTGATTGTGAAGATCCCGTTTTGTCTTAAATCAGCTTATCTTGCTCAACTGGTTCATTTTCTGCCAGGTCAGTTACCTGCTCTGCTCTGCCTTGCTGTGTGACTGCTAGAGTCAGTGTGAGGAATCAGTTAGAAGCAGAGGGTGGAGCAGGATCATTCCTTCTGACAGTAGTGCAGACACAGAGCAGATCTGAATGGCCCTGGAACAACACACCACCTTGAAACTGCCAGGACTTGACTGTTGCAAAGAAATGTCATGGTGACGGTTTGGGTTTGTTGGGGTTTTTCTTAATAATCGCCACTACATCAAAATTAGTTTATAGTCTAGAAGGATGAAAAACTAGCAAAGTTAATTAGATGCTTCTTAAGAGAAAGGTAAATTTGTCTGTGCTTCTGAGACTTACATGTGGTCATGAAAATGTTCTCCCAAGAATCCTAACAAATATTCTGCTGTGTGACTAGCAGAAAAATCTTTTAGATGTGCAGAACCCATACGTATGAAGTGCCAATCAGCACCTCTTTTGCTTCACCCGCTAGCTTTTTGAGCTGAACGGCTGTGTTTGGAGTCTTTAACTCATTCTTTAGCTGTTACTAGCAAAGCACTTTTCTTGTTCTAGATCATCTTCTTCTGGCATTGAAACTTAAAATAAATATTTTGCATCTGTTCACAACTTAAACAGTTTTTCTGTTTTACAGTAGCCACCTCAGTTATCTTTATTAGTGGTTACTAATGTGTGACACTTCTGCCTTGTTTGGGAGGAGTTGAAGTGACAGCCCTGTGCTTATCTTAGTCATCCTGTTTGGTGACACATTTTATACAGTAATAAGGGTGAAATCTAGAATCTGTAACCCATTTTTTAATTTCTTTGTCTCACATATGTGTACTTAGGGATAGGTGGTTGGTTGATCTTGGTATTTTCAGGGTACATAGGTATTGTTTTCCACTTTGCTTTACATTTGGAGGTGGAAGGAGGTATGTGCTTTTGAAGTTTCAATAAATCGTTGCCCATTACTGGAAGACTGGTAGCCATTTGGGTAGCTTCAGGCTGAGGGCCAGGTTAGGGGGCCAAGAGCCTCCTCTGAGAGCTCATCTTTCAAATAAAGATCAGCAGCAAAGTAAAGGCAGAAAAAGTATCTTGTATACACGAATTTCTGCAGAACCTACCAAGATGTTGAATTGGTATCAACTCAGAAATCTGAAAGTAGTAGCAACACATAAACTTCATTATAATATTTTTTGTCAATCGGAAGTGATCAGAAGTTTAGTGAATTATGTATATTTGCTCGCTTCTCTATAGAGTTCTGGTACTTTAGCCCTTAAAAACAAGGGGAACAGTGAAGGACTTGAGGAATTCTTCTACTCTGGATTTGGGACGCCATATGAAATGGCATTTATGAATAAGCAAATGGGCGTATTCATACCTCATAGAAAATCATTCCTGTATTTGTTTCACTCGTCATGAATTAGCTAAAAATGGTTTTGTTATATTCTGCATTCACAAGTATTAATTCAGTCATAGTGTCAACCAGAAGCAATCCTGCTTAGATATGTGTTGTTGTAAAGGTTTTATGGTAAAGAGGTGTCGAGCGTTAGTGACAAGAATATCGAAAGTAGCTGCCTGTTCAGTGTGCAGCAGGAACGGGATTAAATAGTGATGTTGAATACTTGTTATACAGGGCTTGATTTGCTGATGGAATTTGATACGCAGCTTTTAACCTGATACTCCACCCAGTCAGTAGCTCCTCACGAGTAAAGCTTTAAGAGCCCCTTGCCAACATGTTGGGACTCATGCTTCAAAAATTTGAGTGGAAAGCTAACTGGTTTTGGTTGATGCAGCTTAGCACAGGAAGTCAACAGCATGAAGATGAAAATGCACGTTGTTTTCTTTGCATGGATTGCACCGTTAGTTTGCGATGAGAAGTTACAGTTGGATTATAAAGGGTAATTCTCATTGATGCACTGGGGTTGTTGTTAGTGTGTTAGGCTACATCAGAATACTAAGATGCTGGATCAAATGAGTCATTGTTACAAGCATGTTATCATGCTAAGCGTTGGTGACACAAACGTGTTCGTTCTGTTGGTTTGTGATTAAAATGTACTGAACAGGAGTGCCGTTGTGGAGGCTTGTTAATAGGTTAATTTGGGAGTTCAAAGTGAATTGTATAGTACAAGTGCACATTGTGCTCTTAACCTCTGGATGTTCCTTAATCAGCGGCATGCATTGGTCTTGAATATTGATGTTACTTTTGTAGTCAGCGTGTTTAATACGAACTAGAAAACTTCCTTTAGAAAGTTTACGTTACTGCCATCACCTCTTTAATATTTGTGTCACTAGTGTGCAGTTCCCTTACAGTTATAAAGGATGAGAGATGTGCAAGTGTAGAGATTTCCTTGATGTTTGGCTTTTTTTTTCTTGAATGGTTTCAGTTCTCCATTCATCTGGAAACTTATCTCTTACGGAAATGTGGTTTGGGCCGGGTACTTTTAAGTAAAACTAAAGCTGCCACTTCTTGAGGAAAAGTTATTTTTTCTGTATCTCCATATACGTTTTTATCAATCATATATTATTTTTCTTGGTTTTTAATGGAGAAAATCTAATTGGAATCACAGGGATGGCTTACAGTAACAGATGCTGACTCCTGTAATGCCCTGGTAAATTACTTTGATTTCTTTAATGAGCATGAGTCCTAAAGATCGAGGAGTTGAATACTCTGCTGTTCTTCAGAGGCAGGATTAAATAAGTTGCTATTTTGAGCTAATTTAATTATTTACCTATTAAAATAGAACTTGTAATAAGGTCTGAAGTATCAATGATAGTGACCCCTTTATAAACGTTTAAGGCTACTTCAGAAATTTAGGTGACTGCAGCTACTTGGTACCTAGATGTATTACTTTCTTCTTACAGGATAGAGAAAAGTCTATTTTTTTGGAAAACATTAGTATTAAATTAGAATAAGAATGCATTAGGATGTTAAACATTGTTTAGCATTCACTTGGTTGTTTGACCACACCAGGAGTGTATCAACCTACGTGCAGTTTGACAGAGAGAAGTAGGGTCTCGGTTATCTGATGTACCGCTGAAGTCCTTGACTTACGAACACATCTATTCCTGTTGTTCCAATTGTTAGAAGGCAGCTGCAAAAGTCGCTGAATGTCGGGTGTGTAGTGGATCTGTAGATTTTATTCCACCCTCCCCCTCAGCAACCTGTGTAGACCCCAGGTCATCACCTACTCAGGATGATTCATCTGTAGGTCAGCAGCAGAGTGCATCTTCTGTCTTTGCCAGAGGTCTGCGCTATTTAGGGATATTGGACCTCACAAAATTCATGAAGAAATAAAAGCATTTTCTTCTGAGGCTGTCGGACTTGGGAACGTGCCAGATGGAAGCAAAATTCAGTCATTGTTAGGACATAGTATATGACACCTTTGCTTTTTGATAAACCTTTCCTTCTGAAACAGCATAGATCAAAAAGCAATGCAAATGTTTGAAACTGCTTTTCATAAGAAGGAAAAGGTAAATATGTGAATGTTCTGTGCATGGGAGCCTTTCTGAAAGTCTCTTTGAATGCTGGACCAAAGGCACAGTGCAGAAAGAATAAACGTCTAATATGTAAATTTGGAATATGTTCTTGAGGCTGTCGTTGATCAGTTTCTGCTACCTTCCCCCCCCCCTCCATGTTGTTTTATCTCAGTTTGGTAATTGCGATTATCATACTAGCCACTTAGATGAAAAAAGACTGTATTGCAGCTGTAGTGTCAGCTCCTTGTTGTGGTAGAGATGTGAAAGAAGCTACATTTAGATGTTGAGGTAACGTCTGTGAAAATACTGCTTGCCAACTTTGCTTAAGGAACCATGAGTCTTTCAGCAATTTTCTGGTGTTGATAACTCCTTGACTCCTGATAGGTTAGTGCTATTAGGCTATTTTAAAAAATACTTTTCTTGATTTTGTTCATGTGTCTTTATATAGAAGAATTTTTACGGTCAACATGTATTTCTAGATACTGTGTTAAAATTGCTGGCAGAGTCTATTATTCTATACAAACTGAACAATCTGGCCCCTTGTTTTATTTATAAAGGTTCAATGTATCTTTGCCTGCCTACATCAATCTGCAAGGGAGTGTCAGAAAGGCCCCGCATTCGCCGAGCCGTGAGTTATCAATAACTTTTCAGATGTGTTAATGAATGTGGAACAAACGCAGTTATGTGTTTTTAAAAAAATATGGATCCACCTCCTGAAAAGCAAACCTCAAAACTCTTTACTGCAGTAGCAGGCATGATTATAAAGGAATTGCTCTAAATTTTGAGTAGTGTAAGTATAACAAAGCAGTAAGGTCGCCCTCTGGAAAACCTATTGTTGAACTGCTTTGAAGCTGTCTTTAGCCTGTGGATTACAGGTCTTAACTGTTGTATTCCACAGGCAAGTTGAGCATCTGATGGTTTTGGAAACTTTTGTTTGCTTAATAATCTGAAACTTGGCCTGTCTGAAAATGATACATATTAGCATCCTATGCGTAGAACTGATACTTAAAAATCTGGTTATGTAGTAGCAGGCTTGGCTATTAAGATACAGGGGTTTTATTGCCCTCTGTTGCAGTTACCTCAGTAATGAATTTGGCTTCTTGAATTGTTTAATAGGTTCAAAATTCTGAGTGTTTCAGGTCATGAGGCCGTAATAAAATAAATGTATCTACACTCTTCAGAATATTTAATGGAAAAGGCTGCTATCTGAACTCACTGTGTATGATTTTTTAACCCCAGCAGCCCTCCTTGCTTCAGTAATTCACCAGTAGGTTTTCAACTATTAGAGATCTTAACAAGTTGTTATGTTTTAAAAAATTAATAAATAGATCAATCCTGAGTGAGATTAAGGTGATTTATCATGCCTGTGTCTTAACGAGAGAGCCATAGCAGTGATCTCTCTTCAGAATCTCAGATAGTGACAATTATGTTATGACTGGAAGGAAGACATATTCCTGCCCTCATCCCCTCATCAGTTACTTTGTTCTGAAGATTTTAGGTCTTGCTCCAAGATGGGGTTATTTAAACTTGCGATTGGACCTCAGTGTGTGGACAGGTTGATGCTTCTGCTGATGCAGGAACTACAACCTGCCATGATGAAGGTGTAAGTAAGTTGTTCCCAGCCCAACAAACAGCATGAAGAAAAGAAAAACAAAAAAAAAGTCTTATGATACAGAGATATGCAAACTTCTATAAAATAATTTTGCATATAGGCTATGTCCATATGTTTGACTGACTTTTTTTCAGGTTTGTAAGCATTTAAAATCATTCTTCTACCAACTCTTTATGTTACTTCCGTCAGAAGTAAGAGGGTGCATTGCATCCAAGAGAAAAAAAAATGAGTATCAGGTGGGATTCAGTGAAGACTCAATGTGTATCATTTTGTGTTTATGAAGCTGCTTTTATATGCTAATTGTTGCATAAAAATACATCGCTCTGTCACGCAAAATCTGAATAGAACGTTATATAGCTCATTTAACAAATGCTGTTGTAGCAAAGTGTTTTTAGCTAATGCTGTCTTTCTGGTTTCAAGTACTTTTCACGTTGCATTTTTGAAGGGGAAGTGAGAGAGGATTTTGGAATAGCATAGAGCATTATAACATGTATTTGTGTTTTTGGTGTTATTTGGCAGAGAAGCATACAGTGTCTTAAGTTCTAGTTTCCATAGATCTTCACTATGTGACAGGGCAGTGTTAACGCTTTGCATGTAACCTGCAGGACATCTGGCTTCCCCAGACTTGTAACCTGGAATGTGCTGATTTCTATATTGCAGGTGACACGACCCGTCAGCGAATCAAATTCAGCGATGACAGAGTGTGCAAGAGCCACCTTCTCAACTGCTGCCCTCATGATGTGCTCTCTGGAACTGTATGTAGCTAAATCTTGTGTTTTATTTAGATAAGAATGGAGAAATTGAATTATATTTGTTCTTTGTAATACCTCTTTTAATTTCATGGTTTTCAACAAGTATCTATCTAGTGCCCTCTGCTAGTTCAGAAGAACTTTTATAAACAACTAATTTGTAGGTTATAAAGTTAATTTTTAGAAGTTTCCTGTTCTGTGTGCTAGTTATTACTTACAAATTCAATGTTGTTGCTATAACAAAAAATAAAAATACATAATGTAACGTACATGAATTGCGCTATAGCAAAGTGGTTTTAATCTGGTACAGTCGCAACCAGCAGGAAAAAAAAGGAAATATAATTTATGCATATATTATGAAGTTCCTTTCTGAAAACTTTGTGTTGTGGTGAGAGATGCCCCACACAAATATTTGTATGGGGAAGAGAGGTGATTTTTCTTTCTTCAGAAATATTTTGGTGAAAACAGTCAAAAGTTCAAATAGTTACATTTCTAGAAGCTGAGATACATTTAACATGATGGCGACACTTACTGTACAATATCCAGTTACGGTGCCATTTTTGCAAATTCTAAGGCAATTTGAAAAATCTCAATTTATGGCATGTTAGTAAATGGTTTGTCTTGGATTTTTGTGTACTCTATAGTAGATGCTCCTTTGCCTGAGTATAGCAGACAAGGGGCTTTGACACACGCCAGTAGCTTTGTCATTGTGCCTATGCTTTACCTTGTGGTGCCTGATTATAAGGTAGCTTATTCTTTGTGAAAGGCAGGTGAGTTATGTTGCGTTGATTATTTCACCTAATGTTTCATGGTGTTAGAATAATTAACAGTGGAGAGATGTATGATGATGTGCGGAGTCTCGTGTGCCTACCATTCTTAATGCTGCACTTGAGTAGCTTTGCTTATTCACGTTGGCCCATTTCTTACCCTGTGGCAGCAGGGAAAATAAGTACTGGAAAACCTGTCTTAAGGATCGTTTGATCGGTTCTCTGGGCTGTGTCGTTCCAAGTGGCTAACTTGACTGGAGCCTTTAATGAAATATAGAATGAAATTCATTTGCAAAATGGAAAACTGAAATACTTAGACTTGGTAGCTGATTTACTGGTCACCTGGCCTCTAATATGCTTTCTAAGTAACTCTGATTTTAAATTACCATAACATTTCTGGTTGGTTAAAGGGCTTCAGATGTGCATGCACACACTAATTTTGTTCGTTTTACTAATTTTGGTACTTGTACTGACAGACCAATCATTACCGCCTGTGCTTCCCTTTTTCTTAAGAGTCCCTGCAAAAGTAGTCACAACTGTAATTGCTAGGAAGTACAGGAAGAAGAGGCAAAATAAACAGTAGAACTGAACTAGAAAACTTAGCATTTGTCTTAAAGAAAAAAGGCAATGGAATAGAAAAGGCCCACTTGTTGAGCTTCTTCATAAGTCTTGTGGCTTCCTAATTTTTTTTTCCTATCCTTAAAGACACTCTTCCCTTTTTCTTTTGTATCACAAAGTTCTGTCATATCACAGAAATCAGATATGTTGATGTTAATGTGGTGTGTTTGGCATATACTGAAGATAATGCATCTTACGCATACTTCCTTACCTTCGAGTCATTCTTTTTTATAAGTGATAGCAAATTGATAACAAAGCTCTGTGTATCAATGCATATGTAGTTTAATTTTGAACTGTTCAGTGTATTACTTTCCAAACAGAATGGGGAAAAAGAGAGAAGAACGTGTTCCTCTTCACCCATCTGTTGTGTTGTCCAGTGTTTTGGTTGAGTGATGAACGAAATAGTTCATGGTTGGGCGAAGATATGGGACATAACAGTATGCTCTAAAAACATACAGAGTTATTGGTCAGAATCCATAAGAAGATACTGTTAAAAGATCAATTTGACAGCTTTTCATTGTGGTCTAATTTCTATAAGCAAGATTTCTAGAATGGCTGTCTAGCAAGTAAGAAATGTTTATCTTTAGAACTGTAGAAGTCATAGATATCATGCAGTAATGCCTCTTACAGTGCAGACCAAGCATGTAGGTTGGACCTGCTTACCCAGTTTAAGTCCTCACTGAAAGTTCTCGTCTGTTTCATACTGGATTCTGCTGCTGTTGGAGTAGTAAACTATTCAGTGATAGTAATCTCTCTTTTTTTTTTTTTTTTGATTTCTTTTCTCCGTCCTCTCATAATACAGTTAGTCGTTGTTCCACAAAACACGTTCCACAATGTCATTCTGGGTCCAGAAGAACGCTGCCTAATTTAATCCTTTTAGTGGGAGTAGTAGAAATGAACTCATGAGAGGCAAGCTTTAGCTGACCCATGTGATATTCTGCTCTTTACCTAGTCATAGCTCTGAAGAAATGGATGTTTGGATGTTCTCTTAATAGTACAGTTTTTTAAAAGGGCAAGAAGCATGTAGTGTGACAAAACAGTTTATCATTGATTTGGAAAATGACTGTGGAGTTTTCTCCAGAGTTTTGATAGGAAAAGTTGGACGCATCTTTGTGTTCAATATCTGTGGGTAACAAAGATTGAGTGACTTCTTTTTTTAAAAAATTTTCCTTACTTTAAATTCAAATCCAGAATCGTATGCTTCTGAAAGAATTAAGATCTCTGGGAACATTTTATGAGGTTGAATCTCTTCATTGACTAGATTATCAGTAAAATGCTGGACATGAATTGCAATTTTTTTGTCACAAGATAATTGTGCAATTCTTAGGGACTACATATTACTGTTCCTGTCTGCAAAATGCAAACTTTATGCTATTCCACTCCACCCACTCTTTCAAAAGCACTCAAGGAGGACATTCACAGATAATGCAAGACAAACAAAATGAGTCATATGAGTAGGCTCTGTTAATTTAGTGTGTTCTTTTCCTTAATGGCCAAATACTCAAAACTCTGCCAAAGAATTGATTTCCCTTGATAACAAAATCATGTTCCCCAGCCTGCAGTATGTATTAGTAAAAGCAGTGCATGTATAGTTTTCTTAGAAGGTCGGAGTTTTTCTCTTTGTTGTCCAGATTTCTGCATATATTACCTCTTCTCTTGTTTAGATGAAGTGTGTGTGTTTTTTTTTCAAGAATACTGTATGAAGTCATCTATTATTTCTAGACTTCTCTGGAACACTTGCAGTAGGCATTTTCCGTAAGTTTCTTTGATCAGATTTATCTTTTGGTTAACATTAGAAACATTTCAGGAAAAAAACATCCATACAATTTAGTAAAGTTTTGAGTTTTACTAGGAAAACTCCATCATCTAGCTTGGCAACAGTGTGCAGCTTCCTACTTTTTTGAGCTTTCTTTTGCACTTCTCTGTGCCTTGCTTCCTCAGAATGGTTTGTATTTAAATGAGCAGTAAAGTTGTTCTGAATAGAACTCTAAATGTTTTACTTAGGAGTGTAAAGCTGTAAGAATTAGCTGTATTTTGAAATATACTTCTGCGTGCTGTTGCCAATAGAACAGTTCATCCTGTAGCGGTTACCCTCTTCCACTTTTCTGGATAGACTTGTCTAGTTGTCTGTTAGTGAGCTTCCATTGTTACCTACCTACATCAGGAGATTTTGGTTACATGCCTGTTTCATTTCTTTTCATTTTATTTTAGGGACATGTTTTTGTGCTACTAGGTTACTGTTTTTGTAGACTTGAAAATTCTAAGTCAAGCAGTGTCTCAGTGCCTGCAAGAGTTGGTTTTGTGTTGCTTTTCAGGGAGAAACAGGGATGGTATGGGTTTGGATTTTTTTTTTTGTCTGCTTCTAAAGGCAATGGGAAGAATGGGCTACATGGAAGACCTAGGTAGAATAGTGAGTCCCAACAGCAAAACTGTGAACAGATAAAATTGTAGGATCCTCTTTCAGTTTATTAAATTCTAATTCCAAATCTATTGTGCTCTGTGATCGTCTTTTTATTTGAAATGTGTTTTGAAGTTTGAGGCACATAGTAAACTAACCGTTAAGATTACAGAATTGATGTTGTATTCGAAGTTGTAGAACAATGTCGGTTCAGAACCTACACTTGACAATGCCTCTCTCAAAAGCTCTTTAACTGACATTTTTTCATGGTTTTGGTGCTCTGCTTTTTTCACAATGATCACTTGGGCACTGGTTCACATGCATGTAAGTCAGTGGTTTGAGAGTTTAAGAGCTCATTCACTTGAGAATTTTATAATGAGAGATTAATAAGAGTTTATAAACCCTGGCTACTGGGACACTGAATAATTTACCACTTAAAAGTTAGCAATTTTTATTTAAAATTTTTTGTCTTAAAGGGCTGACACTCTTAAAAAAAATTTTTTTTTATCCTTAATAGTTGCTGATGATCACGCTAGTGGTTTTTGGTGTTGTTTTTTCCAAACCATCATTCTCGAGTTATTTTTCATCAGCAAGACAAAAATGTTTGTTTATATTTATCTATATTATGAGATTAGGACTGAAGCTACATGTGTAGGAGTCAGATGACTCCCCTGTAATGATATGAACGTATTAAGCAACATTCTCCAGAGGTAAGCTCTTAGCTGGTTTTGTCAGGTTTTCCCAGATTTATAAGAATGTGTTTTCTCTGTCTTTGTATGTTTCTGAGTTAATAGCTGTGTACTACTGAAAATGACAAGGTGGGAAGATTTAAACCAAATATGTTTAATAAGGTTAAAAGTAGTAATGTCCTGAATATTTATAGTAGCCTGCTAGCTATCTTTGAAGACCCCAAGCAGTTCAACACTTCTGCAGCAATCTGGCTTTCTTACTAGCTTGATTGTGCTTCCCTGTTGAAAAAATTTCACAAATATTGTACGTGGTCTTGCAGACCATGGTTAAGAAACTCCTTTCTGCTCAGTGAATTAACTTTGTATTTGTACTTGTGTATTTGTTGAGGAACATTGCTTCTTGCATTTTATTTATACAAACGTCGAAGTGTGCTCTGCAGTTAAGCATAGGTGCTCATGAATTTATTGCATTCAGCTCTTCAGGACTCTTGCTGACTAAAACTATATTGATCGAGACCTTGGTTCAGCAATATG